GTTTCAGGGCTTTATGGCTTGTTTTGCTTATTGCACTGCGGTTTACACATCTGGCTGTGGAGCCAGAGGTTGGGAATTCAAATCCCTACTGTGCTTGCCTGCCTTTTTATTTTTACCTTTAATTTTACCTTTTTCGCCTTAAGAAGGACCCAAGGCGGCTTACATCATTAAAAGACAAGATTTAAAGCTAGAAACAATGAATACAGTATACAGATTCTATATTAAAAAGGATCAAACACCACACTATGTAAAAGTTGGTGAACAGAAGCAAAAACACACAAAAACCGGAAAGGCACAACAATCAATGGGAAAAAATCATACTCAGACAGTCAATCATTCAGGGAACACTTGCTTAAAGAGAAAGGTCTTTGCTGCAAAGGGCAGCAAAGATGGGTCCAGCCTGGCCTCCAGTGGGAGGGAGTTCCAAAGTCTAGGGGCAGGGTCCTTGACAGGGGCTGGACTTGATGACCCATAGGGTCCCTTTCGGCTCTGCAGTTCTAAAATTAGTTAAGAGCGGGGATTTGCATAAAGTAGAACTCCTCCACAAGCTGCCCTGCAGCTTTTTCCTTCTCTGTCTCTGGCGAGAGAGAGAGATGGGTACTCATTTTACCAACCTGGCAAGGATAGAAGGCTGAGTGAACCTCAAGCCAGCTGCCCGAGCCCATTAGGATTGAACTCAGGTTGTGAGCAGAGTCTTGGCTGCAGCGCTGCAGTTTAACCACTGCACCATGAGGCTCCTGATGTATGTAATGGAAAACATAAGCCAACTCACAGGAAGACTCTTGTAGGACAGGGTGGCCAAAGGGACTGCAACTTCCATCAGCCTTAGCGGGCATGCCTCATAGTGAGGAATGCTGGGAGTTGTAGTCAAACACCATCTGGAGAGCCTCATTTGCTCTGGGAAAATTGTTAAGGACCAAACACCTCATAAGATCAATTTCTATCATGACATTTAAGCCAACCCAGCTTCCCAGCAAGAGAAACCCAGACCTAGCCAGGCAGTTACCTGAGCCCACGGATGAGTGGAAAAGTCTGGCTTGTTTCCTCACTGGTTGAGGCAGGAAGGTTAGCTTTCCAGAGGTAGGATAGCTCTGCCTGCCCCATCTTTATCACTACCAGCTTCTTATCTCAGGCACCTTTCATGCTTAGAACAAAGATTCTTAGACACAAATGAAGTCTTATTGAGTACAAAGTTGTTGTGAACTCAACTAGTTTTTCAATGCATGTCGGTCTTGCTGGCAACAGACTAAGAGTGCCCCTCCACTGAAAATTGCTTTAAGCCTCAGGTTTCTTCCTGGCCTAGACACCGGATTCTTCTTGGTATTGCTGGTTTCCACTATGCTATCAGTTTACTTGACAAAGCGTAAGAGTGTAGGTCTCACACCTACCCACCCTTGGTTGTTGTTAAGTCATGTCTGACTCTTTGTGACCCCATGGACCAGAGCACGACAGGCCCTCCTGTCTTCCACTGCCTCCCAGAGTTGTGTCAAATTCATCTTGGATGCTTCGATGACACTGTCCAACCATCTCATCCTGTCGTCCCCTTCTCCTCTTGCCTTCACACTTTCCCAACATCAAGGTCTTTTCCAAGGAGTCTTCTCTTCTCATGAGATGGCCAAAGTATTGGAGCCTCAGCTTCAGGATCTGTCCTTCCAGGGAGCACTCAGGGTTGATTTCATTTAGAATTGATAGGTTTGTTCTCCTTGCAGTCCAGGGGACTCTCAAGAGTCTCCTCCAGCACCACAATTCAAAGGCATCAATTCTTCAGAGGTCTGCCTTCTTTATGGTCCAGCTCTCACTTCCATTCATCGCTGCTGGAAAAATCATAGTTTTGACTATGCGGACCTTTGTCGGCAAGGTGAGGTCTCTGCTTTTTAAGACTGCTTTCCTCCCAAGAACCCACCCATGAGCTTTAAGGATAAAATTTGGCTAGTGACAAAACCCACTACATTTGCAGGAAGTAACAGGAAAAACATGACCATCTTGGGTGAAAAAGGTAAAGTCAGTAGTGTAAAGCCATGTAGCAAGTCAGTCACGAAGCTAGTTAGTTAAGCTCTGTTCATGTCACTGGTCTTTATTTTTTCTACAGAATGCTGTTTATTTTTTGAACTGTAAATCAATGGAAAATTTTATTCTTCTCTCTTTTAAAGTGTCTGAGTAGTTGAAATAGTGCCAGTTGAGGAGCAGCTAAGAAATAAGGGGTGGTCTACTGAGGGGAGTCTTGAAGCTAATTCTACTCTGTAGGTCTCTGAACTTTTTCTGCTATGTAGCGAGGGGTTTTTAACCCACAATAATTGTCCACACTCCACCAAGAGGTAATGGGACAGACGTTATTCATTCTGTAGAGCAGTGGTTCGCAAGCTTTGGCCTTCCAGCGGTTTTGGACCCCAACTCCCAGAAATCCCTGTCAGCAGTGCAATGGTATGGGATTCTGGGAGTAGAAGTCCATAACCGCTGAAGGACCAAAGTTTGTAAACCACTGCTCTATACTGTGGAGAAGGCCTGTTCCCACCATGAAGCACATTAAAGTAACGGCTTCAGAAGGCAGAAAATAGGAGAGAGATATGCAAATAGTGGTGTGAGGGGAAACATTTTTTTTGAAATTCTGTGTTGAAGGAGATTTTGGGGAATAGCTGGATTGCCAGAAAGATGGACAAGTGGGTCCTAGATCAACTCAAGCCTGAACGATCTCTGAAGTAAAAAAATACTGAAATGGAGGTTGAAATTTGGGCACATCATGAGAAGACAGGATGCTCTGGAAAAAAAAAAGTCATGGTCGGAAAGATGGAAGGCAGCAGGAAAAAAGGAAGACCGAATACGAGATGGATCGACTCTCTTAGCATGTGAGCTGGAAAAAAAGGGAGGATTTTCACACTCTTGTGTACAGCTTCTCTCCAAAAGTCAGGTTTTCCCAAATGGAAAATTTTCAGGATATCTTAATGCTAATTCCTAAATTTCCTCAATTCTTCTGTGGAAAATTCTACATAAAAATCACACCCACATTGTTTCCTAACATTTATTAGTAACAAGGAATGGGTGCCAGTACAGTATTCGATAGGGGTGGTAATTCCCAGGTTGGTGAAGCATGCAACGTCATTCTCACATTTAAAGCACGACTTAAGTCAATGTTGCCTGATTAGTTGTCTTCTAGTGGCTACGAAATTAATGCTTTTCGGGTGATTCGTTTTAGGAATAATGTGGAGGCAACACATATAATTTTGATTGATTTATACACAAGGAAAAATGAACCCACAGATACACACGAGAACTTGAAATCAGCATCATGTTACAAATCTACCTTCGGGCTGTGCCAATCAAACCAAAACTGACTAATTTTTGTTTCCTGTTTACAAAATACTATTCATAATGACCCATCAAGTCAATTCTGACTTATGGTGATCTTTTCCAGGGTCTTCCAGGTACAACATAGTCAGAAATGGGTTCTCCTTCCCTTCTTCCGGGGGCATTTCTGGGACTGTGCAGCTCGCCCAAGGCTACCCAGGCTGGCTCTTCTCACAGGAGGCCCAACGGGGGATTCGAACTCTTAACCTTTGGCTCTGCAGCCAGAGACCTAAACCACTGAGCTCTCCAGCCAGCCTTGCTGTTTAACTTCTTTTCTTGAGATTGGGATTTTTTTTAACAACAACCATGTCCGGCTCTAATCTTTCCATCATACTGTACTGGATCTCCAGTTCATCATCGGAGTGATCCACCGATTTCTTACACATACTCAAGGGAATAATTCAGACGTGCGCCAGCCTTGCTGTTTAATTTATTTTCTTGAGATTGGGATTTTTTTTTTACAACAACCATGTCCGGCTCTAATCTTTTCATAATACTGGATCTCCAGTTCATCGCCGGAGCGATCCAACGATTTGTTTCACATACTCAAGGGAATAATTCAGACGTGCTACAGATCCCTGTGAGGGATTCAAGGCTAAAACAGAGGAACCAGCCCAAGATAACACAGAGAGACTCATGGCTGAGTGCAAGTCGGAACGCATCTCCTCAGCTGTAGCAACAGTCCGACACGCCTAACGCCAATACATTCTTTTGGGCTAATGAGACATTTAAAAGTCTTATTTCATAAATGGAAATCTAATGGCATGTTCAATCAGATCATACAGAGTTCAAAGCACCGGAAAACATTCTGATTTAAAAAAAAATCCTGGAAAACCCACATCACTCCTTCTTTCACATGTAAACAATCTGTTGAACTAACAAAATGTAAATTCTGAGCAGAAACAGAGTCCCCTGTCCTGGGATCAAAATAGTTTCTTCCCTATGTGGATTCTCTGATGTATCGCAAAGAGTGAATTAAAGGCAAATCACTTCACAAATTGTCGGGGATTTACACAGTACATCCCAGTGTAATGTACTATGGCTCCAGCAGTGTAAAATCTGATCTGCAAGCAGAACAATTTCCATGCCACTCAGATCTGAATACTGTCTTTCCTGTGTGGACCGTCTGATGGGTCAGGAATAGAGATGTAAAATTTCCAAACATTTCCATTTTTTCTGGGGGAAAACTTGTTCCCCCGTTTTTATCCAGAAAAAAAATGGAAATGTTGAGAAATTTTACCTCTCTAGAGAGAACTTAAATACATAATGTCTGAGAACTCTTTCCTTAAGGTCTTCGTGTTATATAGTTTGAATACCATGTCAAAGACATATTATTTATTACTGTAAAAGAACACATTCCATGGCCCATTTTATTCCAATTATTGAGGGGGGGGGGAATCAACAAAAAATTGCTTTGGAAAGAAACAGGGGAAAAAAGGTTTTTACTTCTTAATTTTTCTGCTTCCCCCCTCTCAAGGCCTTGCTATCTCCAAGCAGGAAACATAAAATCTGAGCAAAAAATACCCCACTTTTGACAGATGTAGAATTTTTTTCTGCTGACAAGGAGTATGGGAGTTGATCCTTGACGCTTCATGAGGTTTCATCATTGAGCAAAACCTATCCCTCGCCCTCAGAACAGCTACTGTTTCCCTACTGCGTGAAACCTCTGATGCTTCACCAGATATGAATTGTGAGAAAAACTCTTCCCACACTCCTCGCATTTATACAATTTCTCTCTTGTGTGGACTCTTTGGTGCACCAGAAGCTGCGAATTCTGAGCAAAACATTTCCCACACTCCTGGCATTTGTACGGTTTCTCTCCTGTGTGGACTCTCTGGTGCACAAGTAATTGTGAATTCTGAGCAAAACATTTCCCACATTCTTGGCATCTAAATGGTTTCTCTCCTGTGTGGGTTCTTTGATGCACAAGGAGCTGTGAATTCTGAACAAAACATTTTCCACATTCCTGACACTTGTACGGCTTCTCTCCTGTATGGATTTTTTGATGGTTCACAAGTCGTGACCGCTGAGTAAAACACTTCCCACACTCCTGGCATTTGTGTGACCGATCTCCTTTGTGGGCCTTCTGGTGGATTATGAGATTTGAATTCCGGGCAAAATATTTCCCACAGTACTGGCATTGGTATGGTTTCTCTCCCGTATGGACTCTCTGATGATCCACAAGCTGTGAGTTGTAAGCAAAACATTTCCCACACTCCGGACAGCTGTTTGGTTTCTCTCCTGTGTGGACTCTCTGATGGATCAGAAGGCTTGACTTCCGGAAGAAACCTTTCCCACACACCTGGCATTTGTAAGCTTTCTCCCCTGTGTGGACTCTCTGATGTGTTACAAGGAAGGATTTCTGAGCAAAGCACTTCCCACACTCCTGGCATTTGTGGGGCTTTTCTCCCGTGTGTGTTTTCTGATGCTTCACAAAGTCTGCAATATAACCAAAATACTTCCCGCACTGCTGGCATCTGTACGGGTTCTCTCCTGTGTGGACTCTATCGTGTTTCATAAGTTGTGAGTGGTAAGCAAAACATTTCCCACACTCTTGGCATTTGTAGGGTTTCTCCCCGGTGTGGACCCTCTGATGCGTCACAAGGACTGAGTTTTGAGCGAAACGTTTTCCGCACTCATGGCATTTATACGGTTTCTCTCCTGTGTGGATTCTCAGGTGGATCAGAAGAGTTGAAGTCTGGGCAAAACATTTTCCACATTCTTGGCATTTATAGGGTTTCTCTTCTTTGTGGATTCGCCGATGATTGATAAGGGCTGAACTGAAGGCAAAACACTCCCCACACTCTGGGCATCTATAGGGTTTCTTCCCTCTGCGCATTTCTTTGTGACTTGCAAGGTAGGACGTACTCTCAAAAGTTTCCGAGACACTTCACTTACAAAGCATTTCTTTCCAGAGTGAGATTGTCTCATGAAGCGCAAGAGTCATTCGCAGGGCAAAGCATGTACCATGCAAAGCTTCTTATTGCCATAGCCTTCCTCTTCAAAGTGGTTTTCTCTGATCTAATTCACACTAAACACTTTTCCCATTTGGTACATATATTTCTTGTATCCAAATTATCTGTTGGGAATAAGGACATGTGCATAAAAAAACTGAATTGAAGGGACTGGACTACTTATTAAGCTACTGGAAGGGGGTGGAAAGAGGGGGAGACACTAGCTGAAATCTGTCATTTATGCTGTGGAAGAAGGGGACATTCTGGAATTACAAAAAATGCAGCTACCGGGATGAGCTTACCAGTGGTAAATCAAACAGAAGGGCAAAGTATGCTCCTTATACATCACTAGTTGTGCCTAAAGTATTCTCCCTCAGGTTTACACTTTAATTATCCAGGCAACGCACGGATAATGAGCTGGGCATTCAATTTACCAACCTTGGAAGGATGGAAAGCTAAGTAAACCTGAACCTGTCAGGACTGAACTCAGGTTGAGAGCAGAGGCTCAACTGCAGTACTGAAGTTTTACCACTGTCCCCCAAGGCTCAAAGTAACTTGTATATGTAAGTGCATTTTTTTAAAAAACGGTTTGTTGTTGGGATTTGTTTCAAGCATTAATCTGGACAAGGTGGCAAGAAGAATTTTCCCCAGGGTCATGTTTTGTCCGGTAAGCCGGAGGACTCGCCTGGTCTAGTAGGAGCTGAGACTTCTGCTTCATTCAATGTCTGCCTCTTCCCCCCCTTCCCCCCAGTGTTGGCACTGGAAATTAAGATGGGGAAAAAAGAAAGCAGCAAGGGTCAGGGGTAAACATGTGACATTTCTGTGCATTTTGGAAATTAAAATATTTTATACATCATTCCAGCCACAGAACTCTAGACTTAGCAGGAACTCCAAGGGCTACTTAGCTCAGCCCCTGGGATTGCAGGAAAATTAGACGGTATACCTGAACAGACAGCTATCCAAGCTTTGCTTAAAAAACTCCAAGGACGATCCTGTTCCATCTTCTATGGGGCAGCCCTTTAAACATTTGAAGATACAGTAAATGACCTCTTGGTCCTTTTCTTTTCCAGGTTCTGTGATCATTTTCCATACTTTAAACATTTGAAGATAAATGACCTCTTGGTCCTTTTCCAGGTTCTGTGATCATTTTCCATAAGGTGTGGTTTCCCTACCTTTTCCTTTCTTGGTGGCCCTCCCACTGTATGCATTCCAACTCGTCCGCATTCTCGTTCAACAAGAGTGCCAAAACAGGACATAGTAGGTTTTTTTAAAATAAAGTGTGCACTGCTTATATACCACCCCCATAGCACATAAAACATTCTCTGGGCAGTTTAGAAGTTCATTATGCAGGCTACTCATTCTATTCTCCGCCAGCAAGCTGGGTACTCAATTTGCATAAAACATTCTCTGGGCAGTTTACAAGTTCATTATGCAGGCTACTCATTCCATTCTCCGCCAGCAAGCTGGGTACTCAATTTACCAACCTCCTAAGGATGGAAGGATGAACTTCAAGCCGGCTACCTGGGATTGAAACCAGGTAGTGAGCAGAGCTTTGGCTGCAGTACTGCAGTTTAACCACTATGCTCAGTAGTCCAGGTGGGACCTGCCCAAAGCAGGAAGGGATGGTGGTATTTTTTCCCTTGATCTGGGCATTTTACTGTTATGAATGGAACTTCGTATCCCACTACGTTTTTCCACCACTGCATCACTCTGTTGACTTACGTTTGGCTTATGATCCGCTATTACCCCTAAATCCTTTTCATGTATACACTGGCAGGTTCAGTTCCTACCCACCCTGTACAGTGGTGCCTCGCTTAACGGTTACCTCATTAAACGACGGAACCGCTTGACGATGAGGTTTTTGCGAGCACAAAATGATGTTCTAATAGGAAACATTTGCTTCATGATGACTGCGAGCACAAAACGATATTCTAATAGGAAACATTTGCTTCATGATGATCGGCTCCTTGCTTCGGGAACCGATTTTTTGCTAGACGACGATTTTAAAACAGCTGATCAGTGGCTCTAAAATGGCTACCCGCTGTGCAAAATGGCTCCCTTCTGTGCTTTAGGATGGATTCCTCGCTGTACAGGCACCAGAAAATGGCCGCCCTATGGAGGATCTTCGCTTTACGATGAGGTATTTAGCTCACTGGAATGCATTGAACTGGTTTTCAATGCATTTCAGTGGGTTTATTCATTTCTCTCGAGGAGGATTTCGCTTAACAGCAATTTGCACAGAACAAATTATCCTCGTCAAGCGAGGCCCCATTGGACTTATAAGTACAGTGGTGCCTCGCATAGCGAGGTTAATCTGTTCCGTATTACCCTTCGCTATAGCGAAACATCGCTGAACGGGACAGGGAAAGCCATTGGAACGCATTAAACATCGTTTAATGCGTTCCAATAGGCTCCTTTACTCACCGTTCAGCGAAGTTTCCTATGGCCGGCAGCCATTTTCGCGCCCTCGGTAAGCGAGGGGAGGGTGCGAAAACGCTGCGCGCGGCCATTTTGGGGCTTCCGGCGGCCATTTTGTCCACCAAACAGCTGATCGTCGGGGCTTCGTTTTGCAAAGATCGGTAAGTGAAACGCTTACCGATCTTCACAAAGCGATTTTCAGCCATAGCGGCCATCGGTAAGCGATCGCATTAGCGATCCCAAAAAAGGGATCACTATGTGATTTTGTCATTGTACGGTGCGCTCGTTAAGTGAGGCACCACTATATACTTATAAATAGACAACTAAATTTTTCTGCTTAAATGCAGAATTTGACATTTTCCTCTCTCGGAATTGACTTGGTTGGCTTTGGCTCAGTCCCTCAATCTGTTCAAAGCATTTTTAATCCTGACTTTGGCTTCTGAAGTATTAAAGCAAAGCAAAGTGTGCTGATTAAATACTATCCCATAGTGCTCAAAGCACTGTCTTGGCAGTGTACAATTTAATTATGCAGGCTACACACTGGGTACTCAATTTACCAACCTCAGAAGGATGGAAGGCTGACTGAACCTCAAGCCATCTCTGCCTGAGCCCATTCAGATCAAACTCAGGTTGTGAGCAGAGTTTTGGCTTTCATACCGCAGTTTAAGCACTGTGCCACAAGGCTCAATTAATTACTGCTCCCAGTTTGATGGTCTCTACAAATGTGAGAAGCATCTACTTCTTTTTCAAAGTGACTTATAGTGAGAAGCATTCTTTTTCAAAGTGACTTGTAAATACATTTGCACGCACAGCCCAGAACAGAGCCATGCAGCATACCAGTTTCCAATTATTCAGAATCATTGGGATCAATCCTTTAGCTAAAGCCCATCAGCTGCTTATAAATACACCAAAAGCTTGGACACAACTAGTTACAACCAATCTAGTTTATATAGAATCATGAAATTGGAAGGGGCCTATAAGGCCATTGAGGCCAATACATTTGCACGCACAGCCCAGAACAGAGCCATGCAGCATACCAGTTTCCAATTATTCAGAATCATTGGGATCAATCCTTTAGCTAAAGCCCATCAGCTGCTTATAAATACACCAAAAGCTTGGACACAACTAGTTACAACCAATCTAGTTTATATAGAATCATGAAATTGGAAGGGGCCTATAAGGCCATTGAGGCCAGCCCCCTGCTCAGTGCAGGAATACAGTGGTGCCTTGCGATTGCTTCATTAAATGACAAAACCGCTATTCGATGACTGGTTTGCGATCGCAAAACAATGTTTTAATAGGCAAAATCCGTTTTGTGACGATCGGTTCCCTGCTTCGGGAACCGATTCCTCGCATTACGACAATTTTAAAACAGCTGATCGGCGGCTTCAAAATGGCCGCCGGCTGTGTAAAATGGCTCCCCGCTGTGTTTTTGGACAGATTCCTTGCTATACAGGCACAAAAAATGGCCGCCCCTATGGAGGATCTTCGCTGGACGGTGAGTTTTCAGCCCATTGGAACACACTGAACGGGTTCTCAATGCATTTCAATGGGTTTTTTATTTTCGCTTAACGAGGATTTCGCTCTACAGCGATTTTGCTGGAACGGATTATCCTCATTAAGCGAGGCACTACTGTATAAATCTTGTATTCCTACACTGCACTAATTACCTGTAACTAGTTAATTTTCTGGGTAACAGGAAACATGGCTAATGATTACAAGTTACTTTTCAGTTTAAAAAGAGACTCATACTCAAAACCCGTTATACCCAAATAATGAATGTGCTACTCTTTTTTTGAATTAGCATATCCAGCAAAAAAAAAAAGAAAAACAATGAAAAATTAAGTAGGCATTTATTCATTTATTTCTTTTAACCAAAAGATAATTAAAACTTAAACAGTTATTTTTCAAAAGTGACAAGTAACATCTCCCAAATAATCAGGTGTAACTAGTTTAAATAAAGTAAGACCTAGTTACTACAAAAGTCTCTTTTACGGCATTTTTCAAATTTTAGATATTTTTCTTAGTTTTCAGAGCTGTGGCCCTGTTAGCCCATGCAGTTAGTTCAACAAAAAATACACAACAAAACAAAAAGACATGGTGGCACCTTAAAAGTTTGACTTTTATAATGTGAGATTTTATAGAACATCGTCCACTTTGTCAGACATATGAGTTAGAACACAAAGACATGGTAAAACATTCATAGAAGTCTCTAACACAGAGGTCTCCAAACTACGGCCCATGGGCCACATGGTAAAACATTCATAGAAGGCTCTAACGCAGAGGTCTCCAAACTACGGCCCATGGGCCACATTCAGACTGCCTTGCCTTTTTATCTGGCTCAGGCATAGGAAGAGGAGGGGGGGACCTAAGCGATCCTCCATCCCTGCTGTCTTTTGCTTGGGTCCCCCTTCCCTCTTCTTCCTATGCCCATGCAGAAATAGGCAGAGGAGCAAAGCCTGACACGTCCCTCCTTCGGCTCTCGAAAATGTGTAAAATATGTAATGTGGCCCTTAGACTGAAAAGTTTGGAGACCCCTGCTCTAAGATAAAGGGGCAGTGGTGTTGGGTTGATTTCACAGCTCATAAGGATTGATGATCTCTGTCTGGGATTGAGTTCTTTTGAAATTTGGTTCTGTAAACTGCAACTTGATTGAAGAAGCCTCGTGGCACGATGGTTAAACTGCAGTATTGCAGTTAAGACTCTGCTGATGGCCTGAGTTTGAATTTCGGTGGGCTCAGGTAGCTGGCTCAAGTTTAAATCAGCCTTCCAACCTTCTGAAGTCAGTAAATTCAGTACCCAGATTGCTGGTTGGGTGGGCAATGTGTAGCCTTCAGAATTAAATTGTAAACTGAGAGTACTTGAAGCACTATGGGGTGGTATATAAGCAGCACACGTTGCACCAAATGAAATAACAGAGGAACAACATGTGGTAACATCAAGGATGGCAAACTTTACCTTTAAGCTTTGTTCTGAAAAGATGGGTCAGGAGGTCGTGAAGGAAAATAACTGTTGGAGAATAACATAATTATTATATTTGGCAATGACTTAAAAAACCTTGACTGCTATTTAATCAGTTGATATGGATTAAATATCAATACAGTGGTGCCTCGCTAGAGAATTACTATATTTGGCAATGACTTAAAAAACCTTGGCTGCTATTTAATCAGTTGATCTGGAATAAATATCAATACAGTGGTGTCTCGCTAGACAGTTTTTTTGCTAGACATTGACTTTTTGCGATCGCTATAGCGATTCACAAAACAATGATTCCTATGGGGGAATTTCGCTGGACAATGTTTGGTCCCTGCTTCGCAAACCGATTTTCGCTAGACGACGATTTTGACAGCTTCCTCCGTGCTCGCAAAACAGGCATTTTCGGGACCTAAGCTTCGCAAGACAGCAATTTAAACAGCTGATCAGCGGTTCACAAAGTGGCTTTCCTATGGCTAATCTTCACTAAACAACGACAATTCTTCCCCACTGGAATGCATTAAACAGGTTTCAATGCATTCCAATGGGGAAATGCTTTTTGCTAGACAATGATTTCGCTAAACAGCAATTTCAGTGGAACGGATTATCATCATCTAGCGAGGCGCCACTGTATTAAATACCAATGTTCAAGATTTTCTTATTAATAAGAAACAGGTGTCATCTCAGAAGGAAGACCAGGAGGACGTCAAGGAGAAACTGGAAATTAGGGAAAGTTCTTTCAATAAAAACATAGACCCATGTCTTTTCTTCTTGTCAATTTTTTTTTACACAAAGCCACCAATACATACAAAGTATGTATGCTAATAACACCTGGACGTTAGAATGAACATGCTATCATACTGTCTATTTTGTACATACTTTCCATTCAATAGTTTCTAAAACTCAGACCTCTGAAACTTTCTGAGCTATTCTGTCTCTGCAGAAAGGGTGGCAGCTGGAGGTGGCCTAAGTTAAACAAAAGAAAAAGGTCCAAAGGATAACATCCTGCTTCTAAGAAGAGGCCTGAGTTATGCCTGCTGCATTCTGCTGTGGGTGGGGGTGGTTTCCCGCTAATCAGGCACTTGAAAAAATAGATTTAAATCAGTAATCAAGACTGCTGTTGTTATTGGTGCTGCTGCTGCATTTTTATCCCTTGCTAGTGCCACTCCCCTCATTGGGCAGAAACAGATGACCACCTCTGGCATCAGACACGGGGGGGGGGGGTTTGAAATAAAACAGCCAAGAAAATGGAGCCAGACGAGCACCCTCCTCAATGGGCTTTTCTTCCAGCTGTCCCTTTGAACTTATTTTATTTATTTATTTATTTATTTATTTATTTGATTTTTACCCCGCCCCTCTAGACCATGTCTACTCGGGTTGGGAGTTTGATTCCGCACTGGGCCTCCTTGCCAAGGTCCCTTTCAGCTCTGAAGTTCTAAGATTATTATTTTCCATAAGAACTGCTGGCTAGCTCAGGAGTTGAGGTCTCTGGCTGCAGAGCCAGAGGCTGGGGGTTCAATTCCCCCACTGGGCCTCCTTGACAGGGGATGGACTTGATGACCCAAAAGGTCCTTTCCAGCTCTGCAGTTCTAAGATTACTAAGGTAGTGATGAGGAGGGAGGATTTCTATGACATGTCATATTTTTCCCTGCAGCCTGTATGTTTGAACTTATAAATGGGTTTGGCCATATTTATGAGTAATCTGGTTTTTTAAAAAAGGCCAGATTACTCATAAACATGTTTAAATTTGCTTGTGGAGTCAACTGCAGGTTGCAGAGAAAGTGTGACATGTCATAGAAACACTCTTCCTAGTGATGAGACTATTATATCTTATGGGGGAGGCCCGAGAAGAGATTTTCCCTAATACTCCAAAATGCATAGTATTCCCATAGCAGGTCCAGTTCTTGTGGCCCCAGAGAAGGCAGGGGACGAAAAAAAAAAACCCTCCACCGCCTACCCATTTCTCTGACAGTAAAAACAAGATGTAAAAAGCCAAATTAAGGGATTCTCCCCACCCCCATTCTCCTGCCCAGTTCGGGGTGCGCCTACTCGCCCCTCCGGGCTGGGATTGGCGTTTGGGGGTCCTTCCCCCTCCCGGTCCCCCCAAGGGCTCACCTTCACCCCGAAAGAGACATCGGGGAGGGCGGCTACCCCAGCAAAGACACACACACAGCCCCGGGAAGAGCCGAAGCCCCGCTTCCGTCCGGAAGAATTAAAAGGAAGGACCGGAAGGGGATTTTTTTAAAGGGAAGTTGCTAAGGAAGTCCCGCCCCATCCTCTGCTCCCTCCCGTTCTAGGAACCGCAACTCGGCATCTTTAACCCTTTGTTCCAAGGGAAGCATTCCTTGCGCTGACTCGAGTTTGGCTTCTTGGGAAATGAGATCTTCTTATTGTCACCTGGCTTTGAGGGAAAGGCTGGGGGTGGGTTTGTTCCCAGTCGACTGAAGAAAAAAAGAGGAGGGCAAAGGACACTTAACTAGAGAGGCGTGCCTCTCTTTGAAACCAGCGGCAGGAAAGGATCAATTGGTTACTACTCGCTTGATTAACGATCACCCTCCCAGTCAGACCAAATAAAATGATATATACGCTGGAGGTTCCTTTTGGAGTAGTAATCCAAGCTACCGTATGCAACTTTATAGACTAAACCTAGTCTTACATCCTTTCTGAAAAATGCACGTTGTCAAACACTAGCTATTTCAATCTTCAAAGTGTTATCAGAAATAATAAACTCTGTTAGATGATAAAAATATGTATTGTAGAAAAGATGTATTATGGTTATTCAGAGCAGTTTGATAAGGGAAGGAACACCAGACAATAAAAGGCAATCTCATCAGAGAATCCACACAATTAGTGATTAGTGATTTTACATTGTTATTCAGAAAAACAATGTAAAATCACTAATCAGGGTTTCAAGTCCACCCTGGTCTCATGAGTCCCAGGAATTCTGCCTTGCAAATAAAACGCTTCCCACACTCCTGCCATTCATCCATTTTTGCTCCTGTGTGGATTCTTTGGTGGACAAGGCAGACTGAATTCTGAGAAATACACTTATTTCACACTTCACCCACTGATAAGAGTTGATTTCCGGTATTAACTTTCTGATCACAAGCTGGGAATCATCAGCAAAGCATTTCCTACACTTGAAGGACGCTTTCTTCCATGTGGACTCTTTTATGCTTCAGAAGATGTGAATTTTGTGAGAAACGTTTCCCACACTGCTAGCATTTATATGGTTTCTCCTCTGTGTGGATTCTCTGATGAGTTGTAAAATCTGAATTCGTAGCAAAGCATTTTCCACAGTCTTTGCACCTGTAGGGCTTCTCTCCAGTGTGGAGTCTCTGGTGGATCAGAAAGTTTGAATTCCTGGCAAAACATTTCTCACACTCCATTTGTACGGCTTCTCTCCCATGTGGACTCTCTGATGCCTCACAAGGCTTGCCTTCTGAGAAAAAGACTTCCCACACTCCTCACATCCGTATGGTTTCTCTCCTGTATGGACTCCATGGTGGACCAGAAGGTTTGAATTGCTAGAAAAATATTTCTCACAGGCCAAGCATTGGCATGGTTTTTCTCCTTTGTGGACCCTCTGGTGGGCCAAAAGGTTTGAACTGCTAGGAAAATATTTCCCACAATCCTGGCATTGGTATGGTTTCCCTCTTGTGTGTACAGTCTGATGATTCAGAAGGTTTGAATTTGGAGTAAAATCTTTTCCACATTCCTGGCGGTTGTATGGTTTCTTTCTTGTGTGTAGCGTCTGATGAGTCACAACATCTGACTTACGAGTAAAATATATACCACATTCCTGATATATGCAAGTTTCCTCTCCTGAATACTGTATTCTCTCTGGTCTCCCATTAAATGCAACTTACAACTCAAACCTTTCTCACACATAACACTTCTAAAACCCTTGTTCATGGTGTGGACCTTCTCGTGAAGTACAAGCGCCATCTTTTTTTCAAAAATATTTGCGACACATGGTACACTTGTAGAGCTTCCTTTGTCTATTCCTTCCCTCATCTGCATGCGCTTCCACAGGTTGGCCAAGGCCCACTTGATACAAAAAACCTCTGGCCACTCCTTCTGCACATGGCTGCTGTCCCTTAATATATCTGCTGGGAAGAAAGACAAGCATAGACAGGATTCGTAAATTCCACACTTGGGGATGTAGGATAGCACTTTTCAAATACTTGAAAAAGTCATCAACCACAGGACAGGCAGGATTTGATCTCAATCATCCCAGAGCACAGGATGCGTAATACTGTAATGGGCTCAAGCTACAGGAAGCCAGATTTAGGCTGAATATCAGGAAAAACTTCCTAACTGTTAGAGCAGTACGTGTGTTTGTGTGTGTGCCAAATGCTACATGCGGCCAGACACATAAGCAGGAAGTTGAACCACTCCAACTGCATATGTGCGGCAATAAATACATGCAGAAGGAGCCCCATATCTTCAGGGCTCAGATCCAAGGCCCCCTGCAGATGCTTAAAAAATGTGGAGAAATTGGGACCACCATCTGTCAGATCTGCTTTGATTTGGATACTGCCTTGAGCAGGGGGTGGACTGGATGGCCTTATAGGTCCCTTCCAACTCCATTATTTTATGATTCTATGATCTCAGGGTGCAGGAACATAAAGTGCCTACATTGTACAGTGGTGCCCCGTATAGCGAGGTTAATCCGTTCCGGATTAACCTTCGCTATACGAAAACATCACTGTGCGGGTAAGGACCAGAGCACAGGTTGCTGTCCTCGAAAGATGCCGGTCACAGAGACTGGCGAAACGTTAGGAAGAACAACCTTCAGAACACGGCCGAAGAGCCCGAAAAACCCACAACAACCATTAGATCCCGGCCATGAAAGCCTTCGCGAATACATTGCCTACATTGTGTTTGGGGTGATCACAAGCATGGAACAACAGCTACATGGAACAGCAACTATAGGTGAAGCCTATATGTGTTTTTTTCACATCTTCCTTTTTCCGGCTCTGCATTCTTTTCTATCTTCTCTTTTTATTTCACGTTCTCATGCTGAAGTTCAAATTTGAATTCCTTGCTTCTAGTTTTAACTCCAGTTTATTTTAACTCCAGTTTAGTGATGTCCTATCTTCTGTCACCGGTTTCTTGTGGATAAATTTGATCCACGCAAGACTTCTCTGTGTGCAATTTATGCCCCACCACATGTCAGAAAGTTCTAGCAAATGGCCGAGATAATGCCATTGAAGTCCCCCACTTCTGGTCAAAAACGGTTTAATGATCTCAATATTTTAATTTGTTTTTAATGTTACCTATACTTCATATATATGTCCATAATTTTAAATTGTGCAGCATTCAATGAAGGAAAGAAAGCCACTCACTGGTTTATTGTCTGCGTGCTCTAATCTTGATGAACAGAACATACTGCCCAACAAATCTTTTTATTTGTGGGAAGGAGCTCTAAAAGCACAGTAAACAAAGAGAATGATAACTATACTAGGCCTAACTGCAGACGTTGTCATAGACACCTTGCTGGAAGAACTGTTCAGATGCTAACTTCCACTCCTTCCCTGTTTCTGGGGGTGCACTTCTTTATGATGCTTATTCGTGGGAGAGGTTCAGCATGACAGAAACCAGGGTACCAAGCTGAAGGATACGTCCTTTCTTACCTTTCTACCCCCAGTATTCTAGACCAGTGGTTCTTAACGTGGG